AATGTCTGCTTTTGTAAGGCCGAAAATCGTGGGAGGTTAGGGAGACTCAAGTTTTTACATGTAGAACTTTGCCGAATTTCTGCCATATGTAACTTTGATTTTTGTAGAAACCAACTCTAGATAACTAGATTAATGTAAGAGTTAAACAAAGCTCAGCCACGGTGACTCAGTGGTAGAGTGTTGATCTATGAATCAGGAGGTCACAGTTTGATTCCTTGTCAGGGCATATGCCTGGATTGTGGGCTCCATCCCTGATTATGCAGGAGGCAGCTGATCAATGATTCTCTCTCATCATTGATGTTTCTATCTCTCCCTCTCTCTCCCTTCCTCTCTAAATCAATAAAAAATATTTTTTTAAAAAAGAGTTAAACAGCCCTAACCGGTTTGGCTCAGTGGATAGAGCGTCGGCCTGCGGACTGAATGGTCCCAGGTTCGATTCCGGCCAGGGGCATGTACCTTGGTTGCGGGCACGTCCCCGGTGGGGGGTGTGCAGGAGGCAGATGATCAATGTTTCTCTCTCATCGATGTTTCTGACTATCCCTCTCCCTTCCTCTCTGTAAAAAATCAATAAAATATATTTTTTTAAAAAAAGAGTTAAACATAAAAGAATGCCCATCTATACAATAAAAGGGCAATACGCTAATTAGACTGGGCCTTCTTCCAGATGTCCTCTGGACAAAGTCCATAGTGGTGGGGGTCAAGGCAGAGGTGGTTAGGGGAGATCAGGCCAGCAGGGGAGGGTGGTTAGGGGCATCAGGCTGTCAGGGGAGAGCAGTTATGGGCAATCAGGCCAGCAGGAGAGAGCAGTTAGGGGCTTAGGGGGCAATCAGGCTGGCGGGGGAGGGAAGTTAGGGGTGATCAAGGTGGCAGGGAAGAGCAGTTAAGGGCTTAGGGGCGATCAGGCTGGCAGGGGAGAGCAGTTAGGGGCTTAGAGGGCGATCAGGCTGGTCAGGGAGCAGTTAGGTGGCAATCACGCCAGCAGGCAGAGGCAGTTAGGGGCAATCAGGCAGGCAGGCAGGTGAGCGGTTAGGAGCCAGTGGTCCCAGATTGCGAGAGGGACATCCCCTGAGGGGTCCCAGTTTGGAGAGGGTGCAGGCCGGGCTGTGGCTCCCCGTTGTGTGCACAAATTTCATGCACCGGGCCTCTAGTACTATTTTAATTAGTAAGACTTTTATAAGTGTTGGTTGTAAAAATGATGATCAAGATCAATTACCATCCTAAAGAGTAGTCTAAAACCACTAAAAACAGTAATTATGCTTTTAAAAGATTCTATAAACTAGAAAGTGTTAGAGATAGCTCTAATTAGAGATGCATAAGAACATTATTGGGGGGGGGGGGCACATAAAATTGTAAAAGTCTTTTAAGAACCTAAATAAATAGAGGTATATTATAACCATGAATGGGAAAACTCAATATTGAAGACATATCAGTTTGCCTGAATTAATATTATATAAATTCAATGCAATTATATAATGTTTCTAAAAGGACTTTTTGGTGAAACTTGACAAAGTCATTCTAAAATGCATTTGGGTCAAGAATAGCCTGACAAGAAAAGGTAGGAAGACTTTCCCCAAAGAGGTCCAACATTATTATAAAGCTTCCCTAATTAAGACAGGGCTATTCTGACAGAGAGACAGACAAGCAGCTCAAAGCAACAGAAACCTCACAAAGAAAACCACATCTTTATGGAAATGTGATATATGGCAAAGGTGGCCACGCCAATCATTGAGCGCTGGGTAAATAATCTTTGTGGAAGAAAAAGAACAAACTGATGGTTGCCAAATGGGACAGGGTCAGGGGACTGAGTGAAAAGGGTGAAGGGATTAAGAAGTATAAATTGGTAGTTACAAAATAGTCACGGGGATGTAAAGTATAGTTTAAGAAATAGAATCCTATATAATAAAAAGCTAATATGCAAATGGTCATCATGCCCTCACGTCCTCATGCCCTTGCGCCCTCGCACCCTCGAGCCAGGGCTGGGGGACCTGAGGCTGGGCTGGGGGTCCTGAGGCTGCTCCCCACCCCGACCAGTGCCAGGCTGGGGGATCTGAGGCTGTGCCCCCCCCCTCGCCCCCCTGTCCTGTGGGGCTTGACGGGGGTGGGGCTGGCCAGTCTGGGTCTCACATGATTTTGAGGCACGTGTGGGTGGACAGGGACTTGACTCTGGGTCCCGAGGAACACCCCAGACTCTGACAGGAGGGAGATTTTCATATACATTTTACTACTTTTCTCTCATCTCTGACACTTCTATTATAAAGAAAGGGCAAATTGCAATATTAAAATATTTCCTCTAATTAATTCCCTTTTAATGTGCACAAATTTCGTGCACCAGGCCACTAGTATCGTCAATAACATTGTAATAGCTATGAATGGTGCCAAGTGTGTACTGAATTATTAGAGGGATCACTTTGTAAATTACATAAATGTCTAACTACTATAATGTACACCTGAAACCAATAATGTTTAACATCAAATGTAATTGAGAAAAAGACTTACCACTTCTAAGACACACAGACACACACACCAGGTGTGGCTAGGTCAAAGACGTACATGCAAAGAGCAAAACTCGATAAAAAACTGAAAACTTTTCTTTATAAAACAAAAGCTCCCAAATGATAACAACACTGCTGCTTGTGGCCCAAACAAGAGGAACCAGAAGGGCTCTGCATATGTGCCAGGGAAGCAAAGACATAATGTTGGTTGCAAAGTTGCACTAGCAAAACCTTAGATAGAGCTTTACTACCATCTTGAGAAGAATCTATAAATTGCAGCATATCTTACAACAGAAAACTGTAGAGCATGGAAAATTAATAAAATGGAGTTACCGATACATATATCAACATTATTAAAACACACAGAACTGTGTGAAGCATAAAGTTCCAGAATGTTGTATACAGTATAATAGCAGTTACCTAAAATTTAAAACATGCAAAGAAATATTAAATATTGCTTAAGGATTTACATATGCTGGAAACCAAGACCAACAGTAATTAATATAAATGTGAGGAGTCCACTAGAAGGCTGAGTTTGGGCTTTGATGTTCACAGGGTGAATTTGCATTTTATTACCTACTGCTGACTCAATGGCCTAAAGCAAACTCCCCCAAACCCTGATAATCTTACTGTTTACTAAACATTACCATTGATATGTCTGTTTGCATTCCTAAAAGGCAATTGTGTATTCTAGTAAATAAAAGCAGACAGGAATGGAGACTCAGTGGAACTTGACTTCTCCAGTGAGTTTTCCCCTGGCTTCCCCCCATAATTTCAAAATTAATTTTTCTTGTCTTGTGTGTCAATGTGTGCGTCAGCTCTTTCTCCAAGCCTTTGAACCCGAAAGCCACGCTGGCCTTGGCCTTTCACATACATATATGTTGTAAAATTATAAAATCATGCTAGAAAATGATTAACACACAATTTAGGACAGTGTTTTCAAAAGGAACAGAGAACATAATAGAAATATGTTTTGTAAAGAGAGATGGTAGGTCCATGGATACCATTAATATTCTTTATATATTTCAAAATAGTAAAATGTTTATTCAACTTAGTGATTTCAAATATCTGTTTGTTAAAATAAAAGTATACTGGCAGAGCTCTGGATAAAAGTAAAATCTGCTCGGAACATTAAGGGTTGTTTATGATGAGGGGAGGTGAAACTTGTTCTCATCGTGTTCCTGGTTCTGGTTTGGGTGGAGGCAGGGCCAGTGTGAAGCTCAATGCATCAAGGTCCAGACATCCCTGAGACTCCGTGACCAAAGGCCATCCCGGCCTCAGCTTTATTATCAGAGAGAAGCAACATCAGGAGGGTGTGTGGAGGGAGCTCCTGTGCAGGTGGGGCTGGCAGAGTGAGGAGCAGGGGTCTCAGGTAAAGGGCAGGTCCTTGCAGCTTCTTTCCTCCAATTGAGCCCTTTGGTGAAGGCAGGGGCTGCAGGGAAAATCATTCATTCATTCATTTCCTAAACATTTATTGAGCATCTGCTAAGTGACAGGCATTCTGGTTGGCCTGAGTTCATGATGTAGAATGGAAATGAAGCCCCTAAACACTACACGCCAACACTTCTTTCTGAGATCTGAACTCTCTTCCATTCCTTGCCTCTAGTCAGCTCCTGCAAAGTTCTATATATTAGTTCATCGGTTCTCAACCTGTGGGTCGCGACCCCTTTGGGGGTCAAACGACCCTTTCACAGGGGTCGCCTAAGACCATCGGAAAACACATATATAATTACATATTGTTTTTGTGATTAATCACTATGCTTTAATTATGTTCAATTTGTAACAATGAAATTGGGGTCGCCACAACATGAGGAACTGTATTAAAGTGTTGCGGCATTAGGAAGGTTGAGAACCACTGTATTAGTTGATGTGGCCAATACTTTCTTATTCATTCCAAAGATATATAAAAACCAAAATATATAGTAGTTTATCGGGGGACTCTTTGAAGTTTGGGTCTCAAAGCTTTGGCCTTCATCCCACTTGTACACTCTGGGGTCCCAAGGAACTGAATTTGAAAACCTTCAAACACCAGGGCACTACAAAATGCATGAGAGCTAAAAGCTCTTACAATTCCAAGAGCCGTTTGGAGAAAATAAGGGTTCACAAACTTCTTGAAGCTGGATCACCTTGTGGGAACCACGTGACTTTGTGGGTATGCCCTGGACTCCTCTTGCCAGCCCCTGACAATGACCCTGACCTCCTCCCTCTTGACTAAGGCCTCCCCCCAGTTTACCTGTTACAGGTTCCAACACCTGTGGATGTAGGTGACTGTGAAACTCGTCACCAGCAGCAGCTTGAGGCCCAGGAGGAAAGCCACAAAGATAAGGGCAGGTGTCTCTGGACCTAAATACCACATGGGCAGAAGGAGACATCAACTGGGCTCTGTGAGTTTAAATACCTCCTCTGATGTCATGTGGCCAGGAAGTTTCAGAACCACTAATTGCACCCAATTCTATCTGGTTTCAAGCCCATGTTCTTTTCTGTACACTCAGCTTCCGCTTGGAAATAAGTGATGATCTTGATCTTTTAGCCTCACCTTGAATTTAAGTCAACAAATACTGATTTTGAACATCTGTCACACAGCCAGCTAATGTGTCAATGTCCAGAGGTAAAAACCTCTGGAAGTATAAAGCTGGGTGTCCTCCAGGCCTGTGGTCATTCAAATTAAACTTTTATACAATCTTAGGAGGTTGGTATCATCAACACCATTTATAGATGAATTATCTGGGGCTCTGAGAGGATAATTGACTCAGTTCCCTGAGTTTACAAAGCTGTAATTACTGTAAACTAGCCTTTAAAATAATTTTGTTGGGATTCAAGTAGTAATAGTAGCTGACATTTATTGTAGACACATGTAGAGTTTACATATATTAATTCACTTAATCCTCATAAGGACTCTGTTAGGAGCTTTCATGTGACTCATCTACACTACATTAGACTCATCTACAGATGAGTATATGGAAGCACAGAGAGGTTAAGTACCTGGACAAGAATATAGTGAAAAAGCTTGCTCTGTCATTAGAGCAGACATCATGGGGTTCACAGGGTAAGGCTGGTGGACAAGTCTCTTCATATAACCCAAAGACACTATTTTAACAAGAGCTCATTGCTAAAGACCATCTCAGAATAACTAGTGAGCATCCTAAGCTGAGCTCTCTTGGGAATTTTCAAGGAGGTTGAGCTGGGAGACTGTTCTCTCCTCAGAATTGAAAGAACCTTTCATGATGGCCACATCTAAAGGAAGAGGCAGGCCAGAAGCCAGTCTGGTTATCAAGGAATCACAGACTTAAGTTGGGCAAGACTTTAACCATTACGCCCCCGCCCTATGCCTTTCGGAACCCACTCAAGAGAGGGAGGTGACCCAGCTGCTCATAGGAGAAGAGGTGAGCTTACCTGGGTTTTCAATGGGCTTGTATGTCCCGCGGGCTGCTGGGGACAGTATGAGGTTGGCCCAGACGGGAGGCTGTGCCTCATGCTGTACCTTACAGGTGAATACCCTCTCAGACCCGTGCCCTGATGCATTCACCCATTGCAAGCTTTCCAGGGTGTAGGTCCCATCAACATTCTTCTTGGGTGTGGATGGCTCAGCTCCCTTGAATGTATCGCAGTTCTCCAGCCAGGTGAGTTGCACACTTTGTGGATAGAATCTCTGCACGTGGCAAGTAATTGCTACCAAGTCTGAGGACATTGAAGCCTGAGACATTGTCACTGCAGGGGAAACTGACACAGTCAGAGAAAACAGACAATTACTCTAGGAAGTTTACAATGGGAGCCTGAGAACTCCTTGAGGATGGGGTCATCTTCCCAGGGCCTGTCGAAGAGGAGGATTTAGATATGGGTTAACAGATGCATGCATAAGGAAATGCATGATGAATGAATAAAAGTGTGAATGCATGAGGGAATGCATGCTTGGATAGATGAATGGATGGATGCATGGATGGATGCATGGAAGAATGAATGGAAAAATGAAAGCCATCCTAATTGTTCCTCTCTTTTCCATTTTGGTCATTAAAGATGATACAATGAAGTATCATTAAGAACCTATGAACCAGTTGACTAATGTATGACTTGGTAATGCTAAGATTTAAAGAGTCATGCACTCTAAATCTTTATGACTCAAGATACTAAGGTTTTACATAGGCGGGAACATGGGGGTGGAGAGGTTAAGTGACATGCCTGCCACAACTTGCACAAGGTCACGAGTGGCTGGGACTGTCAGAGACAGCATGTTTTACTAGTCTGTTATTCTGACACCCAAACTCTAAGGCTGTAGAATTTAAGATTACTGACTTCTGAAATTTTGATCTAATGACTTCTAGACTTATTTCAACCAGATTTTCAGCTGTGCAATAAGATGTATTCATAATGAGAAAAAAATTTAAATACTATAAAACATGAAATACTTCAGGACAATTCATATGAACACACACATAGTATAGTTCTAACACTACACCAAAGGATGGGAGCTCCAGATTCTGGTCCCTACACTGACACCATAGCCAATGGCCAGACCTTGTGTAAGTCACTTCCCTCTGTTTTCAAGAATCTTAGATTATAAGTTGTCTAAGACGGATCAGCTCTCACAGAGCCAGTGAAGACAAACCTCAGTTCTGGGTCTAGAGTCAAGAAAGTAACTCCTTGTGTTGTGCAATTTGAAGGAACTAAGGGCATCTGAGCCCGAAATATCATTTCTTCATACTCAACCCTCCCAGACCTATTAAATTCTATCAATGAGTAGAACAGCCACAGTAAGACATCATCCCCATAGGTCATGATCTATAATCCGTCTTTCCCCTTCAGCACATGAGCAGGAATCCATACCAAGCAAAGAGCAGGACGCTGAGAAGGAGAAACCCAGGATGGTGAAGGGCTGGTAACTAGGGTGCTACCTACGGAGGACAGTCCAGGCTAAGGTACCACCAAGCAAGTGTCATGGCTCTAGGTGGTGGCAAGGACCAATAAAAGGATGGAGATGCTCAGATGGCCCATTCCAGCCACCAGCAAGTTCCCCTGGCTCTCCAGTGTCCATGGAAGTACGGGGAGGATAGAGACCCAGGCACAGAGGCAGTGTGCATGTGTTATCTCATTTAATCCTCACAAAACAAAATGAGATCAACACAGAAAGATACTTGGTATCAGAAAACAGAACAAACAGCCGCTCAGAAGGAACCTATGCAAAATCAGGGCCTACTTTCATAGAAACTGCCACAAAGGAATTGGTTGAAACTACATCTTGAAAAATATTTCAATAATAAAAACAATTTTGTTAGCTTATGTTTTAAATTAAGTATGGAATATTATCAAAACCCTGCACCAACTCTTAGAAGGAACAACTCTTGGGAGTATAAGGAAGTTGGCATAATTTTTCCCCAGAATCATATACTATAGTCTCAACAAATCCATCATTTTAAATTTCACATTTACAGCACAATCATTAACAGGACATTTTGAAAAATTATTCGAGTGTTCTATCAATTTTCACAGTGGCCTCTTTTTAATCAAAGTGTCCTCTTTGGAAGTGTCCATAGAAGTGTTAATCACAATTCTTTTTCTCATCTTTAACCACTCAGAGGCTTTGCCCATGATCTCAGAAGTTCCCCATTATTTGCGTCAATGTTCTGAAATAACTTTTGCCAGATCTCTGATTTCACTTTGCAATGGATGTGATTCTGTGTGCACAGTATGGTCTGATGTTTGCCACACTTCAATCAAGGCAAGACCCGCCTCCTGGAGCAGAGGGTTTCTGGGCTCCCACAGGCCTCCGCCAACCTGTCTCAGTGCTTGGCAGTGGGGCTGGGTGATGCCACTTCCCATCTCAAACGCCTCCTTGATTCTCTGCCTCAGGATTCCTGCACATCCACGAAATGCCACCCAGCTCATGCAGGCCCATCCCAGCCTCCCCTCCTTTGTGAGGACAATCCTCAGACATACTCTCCATAGTTCCTTAGAGTCCCCAGTGGCGCTGAGCTCAGTCATCCACAGGGACACCCAGTTCAACATCTCCCCTTTTTAGTCATCCACAGGGACACGTAGTTCAACGTCTCCCCTTTTCTTGTGTATCTCTCTCTCCCCATCCCTTATTCTACCTGTACCCAACTCCTGGTTGCAGGTTCTGCTTTCAGGGGAACCCAGATAAAGACACCCACAAAGACATTTCTGTGACAGGAAACCCAACCGGAGATGCACGCCATGTTGAGCAAGAAGGGCTCTTGAGTGAGGCCTGGTTTTGTAAGTAACCAATTCATTTGTGAAAACTGCATTTTCTATGATTTTTGCTTCTCTACACAATTGTCCTAACTGCAGAGAATATATAATAAATACTCCGATAAGGAGGACCCCCCCGAATCAGTTCCCTACGTTACAGGAAAGGTACTGAGGCTGGGAGAATGCAGGTAACTAGCAGGAGATCCCGCAGCTACTGAGCAGCAGTCAAGCCAGAGTTCACGTTCAAGCCCCCTCACTCGCCAGCCCTACAAACCCAGGGAGGCTTCACAGCTTTGAACCTCCGCTTCCTTCCATAAACCATGAAGGGGATGAACAGTACCAGGCGGCTGTATACGTTAAATAAGTCACCCACATGGCTGTGCTTTCTGACCACGTGCTGTGCTCATCTGAGCTGTTAGTGTCAATAGTCTGATGTAAAGTGATGTGTTTACTTCCATGATGAGAGCACACAAAATAAAGAGAAAAATATATTGTACACTTTAAAGTCTTACAGACATGGGAGGAATTAATTTCACTGCTGTCTCCCTTGGGCCACTCACTGGCCTTCTCTAAGGCTTTAGAGTTGTCGTTAAGGATGGGCGAGCACTAAGACTCCCTCCAGGCATGACATAGTATGACCTCATGGAATTTACACACCGGTCAAGAATTGATTCAGGCCAGGAAAATTGACCAAAAATATCTGATGAAAAATTAGGCCCTTAAGCCAGATGAAGAAACCCCAGGGAGCCCCAGCAGTGAGTGAGAAGGCTGCCGGCCACCCACAGCTCACAGCCACACCCGTGTCACAGGACCCTGCCTAACACAACAAGTGCCCCTTCAATTTAGAAGTTTCAAAGCCCTTCGCATCCTCTTCATAGAAATAATAATAAAATTAAATGTATGATTTATTCCTGGAAGGATTTTGACTCCGTTTTACAGATGAGAAAACTGAGCTCTGAGAGGTGATGTGAATAGTAACGCTAAGAAAAAGCAACAATGGCCATTTCTGCAAGATTCATATGAGCAAGGCATGTGCTCAGCAGGGATCGTTGGGTTGAATCTTTGCCACAAGCAAGGGAGGGATGGGCCACTTTTCAGATGAGGAAACGGGGCTCAGAGGCATCCACAACCCAACCAGCCCCGCTGGACAGAGAAACAAGCTCCTTACCACGGAGGTACTGGTCCAGGTTGATGGTTTTCTGGAAAGCCAATTTCGACTTGTGCATGACGAGGCAGAAGACTTGGGAGCGCACATCCTCAGCCTGCAGGGGGACGCGCACGCTGCTGCTCACGTTGTAGGTGTCTCTGCTGGGGTGGACGCTGGTCTGGGGGTTCGGCAGCGTGTGGTTGTTTTTAAGCCAGGCCACCGTGACGTGCTGCGTGTGGAATCCGGAGGACGTGTACTTCAGTAGGATGCTTGTGCCCGGCTCCGATCGCTGAGGGGGGCCTTGCAAGGTGTAAGAGTAGCTGCTCCCGCCTGCAAGGAGACACCCCCACTGTGAGAGGGCACGGAGGGGCCCATAGGCCAGTGAGAACAAATCCTCAGCATCTCTACCCAGAAGTCTCGCTGGCTCCTTGTCCAGAGGGTTAAAGGTTACATTCTAAAAGGAGCTAATTTCTGAAGCTGATACCAGAAGCCAGACGATACCCCAGGCAGCCACAGCAGGGTGTATGAAGGCTGCCTGCCACCCACAGCTCACAGCCACACCATGTCACACGACCCTGCTGATGGGCTCTGCCTACCTCACCAAGTTCTCCCCCAAACCATAGGAGGTGGGAGTTAGGACTCTCCCATTTCACAGACGAGGAAGCTGAGTTCTAGACAGGCTAGGTAACTTGCCCAGGGCCCACAGCTAGGCGCGGGCAGAGCTGAGGTTCTTAGCCAAGCTGTCTGCCTGCAGGGTCTGTACCCATGACCACCGCTCGGCTCTGCCCCCAGTCCCTGGGAAGGGAAGAGCGCCTCACTGCTCAAGACCAGGTCATGTGAAAGCAAGTGGCCCAGAGAGGGGCTAGCAGCACAAGCTTTCATGTCACATTCAACCCAAGTTTGCACTCCCAGGCCCTCCACTAGGTGAACCTGAGCAACTCGACTCTCTAAGCCTCAGTTTCCTCATCTGCAATATGGGGTGGTTCTTATTTTTCAGAATTAATGAATAAATTAAGTAGCTAGTGGAAAATATATGGCACATATTAATCACTCCCTAAATGGTCTAGCATCATATACTCACCGTAAGTTTAACATTTTTCTTTTAGCCCTGCTCTGGACTGGGCACCATGGAGATTGCAAAATAGGCATCATAGAGCACCTACTGTGTGCCCCACGGTCAAGCAGGGGTCAGGGAACAAATCTTCAGCAGGCACAACAGTTGTCATTACAAAGATGAAGAGACTGAACCCTGGCCACTGTGCTCAGTGGTTAGAGCGTAGGCCTGTGCACCGAAGGGTCGCAGGTTCCATTTCTGGTCAAGGGCACATACCTGGCTTGCAGGTTCCATCCCCAGCCCCAGTCAGAGTGAATGTGGGAGGCAACCAATTGATGTCTCTTCACATCTCTCTCTTTCTCTCTCTCTCTCTCTCTCTCTCTCTCTCTCTCTCTCTCCCTCCCTCCCTTCCACTCTTTCTAAAAATTAATAAAAATATCCTCAGGGGAGGATTAACAAAAAACAAAGATGAGGAGACTGAGCTGAGTAGGGGCAGTGCCTTGCCTGAGGCAGATGGCCAGTGGCAGCCCTGTGATGTGATACTGATCCATTGGACTCCCACCAAACTCGGCCACCTCCACACATAGGAGCCAGTGTTAGCTTCAAGGGCTGAAATCCTCGCCATGGAGGAGAGGTGGAAACAGACAACCCTCATCATGGGTTTACAGGAGGCCCCAAAGTTTAAGAGGCAATTGTGAATGTGGGCAGATGTGACCATTCAGGAAGAAATAAATACCAGAAACAGAGTATTTAAGGTTGATTTGAGAAGAGGCGTGAGATAGCGAAGATGTGTGTTCTCAGGCAGGATGGAAGAGAAAACTACAGGAAAAGCACGTTGAGTTTGTGAAGAGACAGCCCTGCCTTCTGATGAAGGCTCTGAGATCGGAGACTTGGTCGTCCGCTGCCTTTCCCAGCTGTCTTGTCACAGGCGTGCGAGGACACCTGGTGCACAGTGAGTGCTCTGCGGGTGTCGGCGTGAACAGGCACAGCTGGCAGTGCAGGAGGGTGAGTGCGGAGGAAGGGTTTTCTGGGCCAGACTGGGGAGGTGTCGCTGCAAAGGTGTGGCACCCAGTGGCAGGAAAGGAGGTTGCCCTTCTCTCCAGACCACGGGGTGCTTCCAACAGCTGAATCAAAGGGGTGCTCTCAGGGGGTTCACCTGGTAGCAGTGGGCTAGACACACTGCGTGCAGGCGAAGGAGAACAATAGACAGAGGAAAGGACTCAGAGTGAGTCCATAGAGAAGTGAGTCAATACAGAAATAATGTAACCTGCTTCTGATGGGAAAAGACCAGTTTGGAGTTTTTCATTCAAATTTGCATGTCCCTCTGGGTGACCGTTTTTCTTATTTCTGTTGGACAAGAAACACTGGGGCGTGTAGAAAAGGAATGGTGGGGGGATCATTGCCCCCGAGAATCCTTCCAGCAGGCAGATAGAGGCAAATTCTGTCAGGGAGGGATGGCGCGCAGGGCCCGAGCCCCTGCTGGAAGATGCGCAGTGTCGCCGCTGCACCTGGACCACGCTTTCTCCGTAGGGACTGGGCTCTATCTAATACGTGCACCAGGCGCAGACCCCACACTTCCCGGAGGGACCGTCTGTCCTTCCCCATCCTCTGCGGTTCTGGAGAGCGGTCAGTCCACACTCGTGTTCAGCCAGGGCTGGCCCAGGCCTGGCCAATCATAATCCTCCCTTCTCTCCATTCCCTCCTCGTGGCTCAGTCCCTCCGCGCATCTATCATCCTCCCCATCCGCTACCGGAAAACAACGCCGTTCTCTGTTTGAACTGCTGGCTGGCAGCGCCCCCTTGTGGTCAAAGTCATCTGAGCCACCAAGGATGAGATCAATAAGGCGGAGAAAGGGTTAGGATGGGAGGGGGAAAGGGAGAGGAGGAGGGGGAATGGGAGGAGGAAGAAAATGAGAAGGGGAAGGGGGAAAAGGAGAAAATGAGAAGGGGAGCGGGGAGAGGCAGGGAAAGGAGAAAGAAAAGGCGCACCGAGCAGTAGAGAGAATGAGAATCTCGCACCTGCAGCCACCCTCTCTAATCTCATTAAAATTGACTTCCAGAAACTTCCAGCGGAGCCAGTCTTGATTAAAAGCCCCCCTAGGAGAGACGTTGGCGCCCACAGCCAAACCTCTGCGTGTCCCGCAGTCCAGTGTTACAGCGGAGAACTTCCAGCCTGCAGAGGCCGTGGGGCTGGGAGGGGGAGTCCCACTCCTTCCTCCCAGGACGAGGGTGTGTGGGAGGGAGGGAGGGATGGACGTCAGTGGGGAGTGCCTGAGAGGTTTATCTCCAGCGCAGGGCGTCCTTCCTTCCTTCCTTCACGGTCAACCCTGGCCCCGCAGCCATGCTGCCCAGGGCGCTGGGCGGCGCTGCACCCACCTTTCCGCAGCCGGGACGCCTGAGCCCGCAGGGTGATGTTGGCCTGGACCGGGGGCTGCTCGTCCTGGACCACCCAGCAGGCAAACTCGCTCCCGTTGGGCGTGGCCGCTGCCTGCCACGTGTGCTCCAGCGAGTAGGTCCCGTCCGCGTTTCTGGTGACCTGGGGGGCCGGCTCGGTGTGGACGGTGTGCCTGTTCTCCATCCAGGTGAGGTGCAGGTGGGAGGGATAGAAGTGGCTGGCGTGGCAAGTGAGATTCACCCTCTGATGATGGGGGGTGCTCGCCTCGGAGGGCTGGGCGGTGATCTTCATGGTGGGAACGACTGGCAGAGGAACAGAGGGAAAGTCTGTTGAAATCACACCTGGGCGCCTGGCCCGCTTGTGAAGGAACCGGCCACAGATTCTCTCACTCTTTCATCAGTGACTTTTTTTTTAAGAAATGGTTTTCGCCTGTATGCTCAGTGCAAGGCAAATGGAGCCAAATCTTAATAGTCATTAAATATAGGCTAAGGGTACATGGGTGTCTGGGATCTCACATTCTGTGTTTCAAATATTTCAAATCATGAAATTTAATTGTCAGATGTACTCAAACGCAATGCCCATGAGGAGAGGGACTTAATTTTATTCATTGCTCTATGCTCAGCACCTGGAACAGTGCCTGGCCCATAGTCGATATTCCTTTGTCGAATGAATAATCAATATTTAAGATTAATAACAGCAATGATATTAATAGAATAAATATGTTTGGAATGGAAAGTTGAGCCAGATAATAATAATAGACATGCACAAACAACCTACTGTGTGCCGGGCACTATTTAGAAGGCACTATTCTAGGTACTTTATGAGGAATCAGTCATTTGACCCTCACATGAAACCTATGAGGGGGTCTTCATTTTATTTCCATTCTAGGAGGAAATCGAGGCCCAAGGAGGTTAAGGAGCTTCCTCAACATCTCACAAGCTGTGAAGTGTGCAGAGGGTTGATCCCAGATGGTCAGCCTCTGGGACCTGTGCCCTTAATGGCTACACTGCCTGGTCAGCCGTGGCCCTGAGGAGCTTCCGTTTCCCATGAGTGAACTGGGGCTTCAGGTGGAAGACTGTGGCCGCCAACATGCCAGGGAAAACGATGCCCCCGCCCTGCTGCCCACTCACCTCGGAGCACTTGGGAGAGGTTCATGGTCCTGTGCAGGGGCGCTGCCAGGTCCCCGTGGGTGACTTCGCAGGTGATCTCTGACGAGACATCTTGGCGCACCAGCGTCAGCCACACCTTACTGGTGATGGAGTAATTCCCTTTGTCATCAGTCACCAGGCGCTGAGCGGAGGCTGGATGCTCATCCCAGTCCTTCATCCAGGTGACACTGATGTCCTGGGAGCTGAAGGGGCCGGCGGTGCAGTTGAAAGGCACCGAGTTTCCAGGGGCTGCCCTCTCCGCCGGGCCCGTCAGCGTGATGAACGGCTGGCCAGCTACGAAAAAGAGCATGTCTGCACACCGAGGGCGGGACGCAGCCAGCACTCAACAGCCTGTCAGAGGCGCCTGTGCTCTCAGGCCCTGTGGACCTACTATGCACCGTGTGTGGTTCCTGCCCCAGGGGGTCATACATACAGATGATAACAAAGAAACAAACAAATTGCAACTGGGGCTCAATGACCTAAGGGAAACCCAGAGAGTACAGAGATGGAAAATGCTGGGGGGAGTTATTCTAGAAGTTAGAAAAGGATTTCCAGGGAGGTGACATTTTGAGCTGAAACTGAGGAACGGATAGGAGCCAGGCCTGGGGCAGGGAAATCACATTCTAGAAAGTGGGGAAGCAGGTGAGAATAGCTCGGGCAGGAAGAGCTTGGCGGGCTTGAGAAACTGAGAGGCCTGGGGTCTGCAGCACGTGGGCAAAGCGGTGCAAGGAGAAGGTCCTATTCTGATGGGAAGCCGGGGGAGATTGTAAGCAGAGGGGCAGGCGGCCTCACTGACATGCTTTACGGGGGGGGGGGGGTCTGTGTGGAGAATGGGCAGGAGGGTGGCACTGGGAGCAGGGAGGCCAGCGAGGAGGCTGCTGCCCACATCAGGTGAGGTGGTGGTTCCCCGGGCTGGGGTTCTGAGAAACGGAGGTGCATCTGGGAGGTAGAGCCCACAGGACTTGGTCATGGACTGGGTGGGAGAGGAGACACAATGAATTATGGGTAAGTGATTCTCGGGGTCCTCTCCTGAGCATCTGGGTGGGTGGTGGTTCTAGTTTTTGAGAAGGAGAAAACTGGACCGAGTTGGAATGGGAGAGGGGTGGTGAGGAATCAAGGTTTCCATCTGGGACATAAGTGTGAAGCCAGGGGTCCCCACAGGCAAGCATGGCAGGCCTGCTCCCCCTCCAGGATCTCCTGGGCCAACAGTGGAGCTGCCTCAGTGGCGTCCACCCTCTGCTTGCTCGCCCCCGGGGATGGGCGGCTCTCTCCAACGGAGGCAGCTTCTTCCCCCTCACAGAGCAGGACTATGACAAAGCACTTCTGCTTCTGACCGAGGCTCTGTCTCCTGGAGTCATCCCAGGACAACTGAGGGCCAGACTCGTCCGCCCCCGCGGCATGGTCTGCAGAGATCTGCGGGCCAGACCTCTCCGAGCCTTCGCTGCGTTCCCCGAGCCCCTGCTCTGAGCCAGTATGTCAGCTGGAGACACAGGGGCCCCTGGCCAGGTGTGTGTGGAAGGGCACAAGTAAACCAGTAACGACAACACAGAGTGACAGGTGCTGGAAGACGGCTGCTGGGGCCAGAGAGCATGTCCTCTCAGCAATGAGCTCTGGTACCTTCTGCATAGCACTCTCCCCCCTGATTGAGCCCTCAGGATAATTATCACCCATCTGGCAGCGCCCTGTGGTTTATGAAACACTTTCAGATGGGTGTGCTCATCGTCATCCACATCCCAACTGAGAAATGCTAGTGTTTCACTTCCCAGAAGAAACAGGCTCAGAGAGGTTTAGTGACGGCTCAAGATCACACAGCCTGTTAGTGGCGAAGCAGGGAGGTTAAGCAGGTGCGTCTGACTGTGGGGCCAGCACTCTTCCCACAATGCCAGAGGCTCCATCACTCAGGGGTTCCTCTTTCCCTCTGTCTTTCCCAACCTCACACCCTCTCTGACCTGGACCAGGTGGCCACCCAGACCAGAGCTGGCATCAGAGAAACTGGGTGGGAGGTGGGCTCCTCCTTCACTCTTTGATGGCCCCCCAGCCCCTCACCCGCCGGTCATATCTTGCTCTTCCTGACCCCAAAGCTCCCATCATCGGTTCCCCACAGGCCTACATTGAGGAAAGCAAGCAAATAGCACCTGAGAGGCAGGTCCGCAGCTCAGCTAGGTCCTCTGGCCTCAGCCCCTCTGCCCACCCTCAGATGCGAGTACCCCCAAGCACCCTTCCCTGACCTGAGGATTCCTGTGAGCAGCTCTCAGAACTCACCTGCGAGTCCCAGCAGAAGGGTGGGCAGGAGGGAGCCCAGGGCCTGCCCCAGCGTGGCAGTCATGGCGGGAAGCTCACAGCGTCCCTGGTCCATGCGGGCGCCAACCAGGGAAGCTCTACATGAGCCCGGGAGCCACTGCCTGGTCTCCTGACAGCCTGGGCAGGCCCCCAACTCCCAGACACCCACCTACCTCCAGCCTGAGCAGCTGGGTGAGCCACAGAGAGAGAAGTGGTCGCTGTGGCCCAGGCTTCCTTCCCAACCCCAAACCCTCAGATCTGAGGTCTCCAGCTGGGAGGTGCCTGCTGCCCGGCCTGGGGGCTGCCTGTCTTGTGCGGCCAGCAGAGCGGGCAGGCATGGCTCCCACAGCTCCTGCTGCAGAGCCCCCTCAGGGTGGGGAGGCTCCTCCCGCTGGAGACGCCATGGGGCCTGCGCTGGCCCGGCCCAGGGATGTCTCTTGAGCCACAGAATGGATGGGAAGTGGCCTGGGCAGGACTGGTGAAGTGAGCCTGGACGCATTCAACCAAATAGACAAGCATCCAGACTAGACTTGAAAGCCAGCCCTGTCCCTCACCGCCCTGTGCCTGCACAGCGTCGGCAGGACTTGCCCTGGCCCCGGATTGTCCGCTAGGCCACAAGTTCGGAAAGGCGAACGTTAGGCCCAACCATTCCCCCGGCTTCACCCCTTGGTGCTCCTGACCCCCCTCCCCCATACCGTTCTACTCTGTCTGGCTCCCCAATGGCTAGCTCGGACATACATACTATTGGTTTTTATCTGTTTTCCCATGAGAAATGATTGGGTATGAGGATTGCTGTCTTTCAAACACTCCAGTAATCAGCACCCAGCACTCAGCACTGTGCTGGACACACAGTAGGTTCTCAATAATAAGGAATGAACCTTTGGGACCAGGTATGGGCTCAGGACTGATTAAGAAGCAGCAAAGTCCAACCTTCATACTGCCCCCCCGCCTCCCCAGCCATCCCATCTCCCCACGCTCTGTCCACTCAGCTCATGGCGGGGGTGGGGGGGGAGCAGTGGCCAGCCTGGAGGAGACAGCTCTAGAATCTCTCCCCTCTCCCCTCACAGCAAAGCACCTGCACCCCAAGAAGAAAACCCCTAGAGGTGAGGGAGCTGCAGGAAGAGGAGGCCGGCTCCCCTCCACGTGTCTCCTGAGGCAGACAGCGGACTTGCTGCCGTGAGCAGGAGAAACGGGAACTGGAAAGAAAAGGCAGGGCAGAGGGGGTGGGTGGTGGCAGGGGAGCAGCCTGAACTTCCCCCACCCCCTGCAGCATTGCAGGAGGGGGTTTTCTCGGAGAGCCCCGTGGAGGAGTGTGGCATCCTGTGGGCAGCCACTCCAGAGTTCCCTAAAGCATAGACTCTGCATGGACTGCAGGGCCCAGCTGTGGAGCTGGATTAGATCATGCATGAGAGCGGCACCCAGGGCACCCCTCCACACATGTGCACACCCACATGCACATGCACACGCACACAGGGATCCCCCAAAGGATCCACACCTGGGACCCAACCTGGAGATAAGAGGAGAAACAAAAGGCCCCTTATCTCCACCCCTGCCAGACCCCTCAGCAGGGACTTGGGGGCGCGGTGGCTGTGGGTGCAGGAGGGTGTGATGTTGGCCCTACACGGCAATGTGGACATTAGCAAACAGCTAGTTCAGGCCGGGCTTTAAGCAGAGCCCAACACAGAATAGTTTTTTCATGAAAGTTTGGTAAAATGATTCACCCGTGCCGCCCATTTGGCAACAGTTGTCGAGCACCTTCCCAAAGTGTCCAGACAGGCAGGCTCTGCCCTCGGAGACAGGGAGGGGCGGGCAGGCGAACCGTGGGGGACCTGAGCTGAGGGCGCGCTCCCAGAGGAACAGCACCCGTTCCGGTGGCGCCCTGCACCGTGCAGACAGTTGGATGTTTGGGTAAACAAGCAAGAAGGATTATGGGGAAGAAAATGGGGGAAGCACCACCAATGAGAAAGCCTTCCCTGTGGCAGTGACTTGACTTGTGCGACTCCGGTCACACCACTTACATAGAAGGGGAGACGGTGACTCCGGGGTGCGGGTGGGGCTGCCGGGGGAGGTTGTCGTGGGTCGCCTGCCGTGTGAGGCTAGAACGCGCAGAGAGAAGTGGGGAGACTGGGAGCCTCCGGGTGGTGGTCTGAATGCCAAGGGACCCACAGGGCTCACCCAGGCTGGGCCACATGCCCACTGGGTGAGGCTTGTTTTTCTCTGAGTGGAGCCAAGCCCGTCTTCTTCCTGATTCCAGTGCCAGCAGGAGGCAGATCTCCCCGAGTCTGTAAGCTCAGCCTCATCTGTGCTGGGGGCCTAAGAGCCCTCGTCATGAGTACGGGCCCAGCCCTGACCTAATGGCTGAGAGGGACAAAGGTCCAGGCTCTTCAGGAAACGGACATCGATGTAAAAGCAGCTCAGGCTGACAACCCTGCAAGTGCAGACAGTGCAATGACGCGGTGGCACCAGCCACGGGCCCGTGGTCAGACCTGGGCCTCAGTTTCCTCCTCCGCAGCAAGAGGCGAGTGACATCTACCTGTGACTCTCTGAGTCTTCTGCATACAAGGTCTTAAGTCCGAAGCATAGAAATGGAGCTAAATAAATGCGAGTTTCTATCCTAAGAAGTGCAGCTCCCCACTTCATACTTCTTCCACCTGTTAACTCCTCCAACATGACTTCTTAGGAAGAGGGGAGCTGTCAAGAGCCCTAAATGGCAAATTGCCATGTAAAATCCAACCCCTTGCTACAAGAACCCATTATCAGTCACCCTTACCCCATCTTCTCAGATGGGGCTCACACGCAGCTTGGACAAGCCACCCCTGCCACCCTGCTGCTCCCCCAAAGCTCTGTCTCTCCCTGAGACGGTGACCCAGCTCCCTGTGGGTAGGGACTCCTGCTTGTTCACCTCCTTCATGTCTAAGTCCTCAGTGCCTAGCACAGTACCTGACACAGAAAAGCCTCTGAGCACATTTGCTGAATGAATTCATTTCATTATCAACTTATTCATTAACAGAGAACAACTATATGTGCCAGGCACGGTTCAAGTCACTGAGCCACTGAGCAATGAGCAACACAGGTCCTCACCCTCAATAAAGCGACGTGAGCTACTTACGAGGGAGGCCAGGAAACAAGGAAACATACACTGAGTGGCCAGGTTATTATGACCACCACATCAGTACTTCGTTGGGCCACCTTTTGCCTTCAATACTGCGGCAATTCTTCTTGGCATTGACTCCACGAGATGTTGAGAGGTGATGTGAGGAATCTGACACCATGCCTGATGAATAGCACTGTCCAGTTCTGTGAGATTTGATGGTTGTGGAACCAGCTGCCTGATGGCTCTTTTAACTTCGTCCCACAAGTGCTCAATTGGATTGACATCTGGTGATTGTGGGGGCCATCTAAGCAAGGTAAAGTCTCCCTCATGTTCTTGAAACCACTCCTGCACAATACAAGCACCGTGGCATGGCGCATTGTCTTGTTGGAAGAAGCCATCTTTATTGGGATATGCCATTAACATGATAGGATGAACTTGATCAGCAACGATACTTAGGTATGTTGTGCTATTCAGACGTTGTTCCACACGAATTAAAAGGCCCAAATCATGCCAGGAAAACATGCCCCAACCATAACACTGCCCCCACCAGCTTGAAGGGTTGTACTCATGCATGTGGGGTGCATGCTTTCATGCTCTTCCCGCCAAATTCTCACTCTGCCATCTGCATGATGCAACTGGAAACGTGATTCACCAGACCACATGACTTTTTTCCAATGCTCTACTATCCAATCCTTGTGTTCCTGTGCTTGGGTAACTGTCATGGTAAACAACCTGCTTCCCTATTTATAATGGTCTGGCCCTCTAACAACTTCAGTGCGAAATTATAGCTAATTTGCCTACAAATGTCAGGTGGTGATAATAATCTGGCCACTCAGTGTTTATGCAATGTAATTTTCGGGAGGGTTACCTGAGGCAGAGGGGGGTGTCTGGCACAAGGGGTTCAGGAGGACCTGTGGGGAAGGGGCATGTGATCGGAGCCCTGAATGGAAGGGGAGGAATGGGAGATCTGGGGAAGAGCGCTCCAGAGAAGGGATGCAGCAGGCAGGGGAGGTGTGCTCTGGGTGGGCTGAGCAGCAGCAAGGTCACTGTGGGTCATTGTAGGGAGAGGGGGCAGCAACAGGTCATAGGGCCTGATCTTACAAGCCCTGGGGGAAGAGGTCAGGTTGCAATTTGTGTGCAATGCATCAGTAGGCTGAGAACAGCGGTGTGGCAGGATCCAATTTGCAAATTAAAAACTCACATTCTGGTGGCTGGGGATGACTTTGGAGGAGGAACAGGGAGGAGGCAGAGGGAGGAGAGGGGAAGCAAGAGGCCACTGGAGCTGTAGGCAGCTGGACACAGGAGTCTGGAGGTTGGGGGAGAGATGGGGATGGTGGGAAGAGAGACAGACATTTGCAAGTTGTCGGCATGTGAAAGGGTTCAAAAGATTCTTCAAAAGATGAGCCCAGTTCAGGAAAGAATGGAGAGAAAAGAGAGGGAGGGTCCCAGGCCTGGGATGTGATCTGACTCGGACATCAGTTTGCAGGATGACATGGGGACATCTTTCTGGGCCTCAGATTCTATAACTGAACCTACAACTTTATCTCAAAGACTCTCTTCCTTGAATATTCATGGGCCTGGGTTCACGTCCTACACTTGGGGCCCCAGCCCGGGCCTAGGCCTCGCTCACACAACCTCTGCTGAGCCTGCTTCCTGCAACGAGCCGAGGTGGGCACCGTGGGTGTATGATCCCTGCAGTGGCAAAGACTGTCGCTCAGAGGGACTCATGCTTGATTTACTGCTCTGCTGTCACTGTCTGGAAACACTTAATGGTTTTGAACAAGGGGCCGTGCATTCTCAGTTTGCACCGGGCACTGCTAATTCTGTGCCGCCACCTGTCCTTGGCCTCCAGGGGTGAGGGAGGCAAACTCCTGCAGAGGCAGCAGGCATGACTGGGCAGCCTGGCGGGGAGGGTGGGCAGGAGGCCCCTCAGGTGGCTGCATGCGAGGGTGGAGGACCCTTGCTGGACCCTCTGTGGCATC